CACCAGACCTGTGTACAATGAGTTGGTCTAAAGTACTTAGACTCCAAAAACCAAAATATCAATGAATTCAGAAAACTGGTGGCCAGGCTCTGTGAAGAGATGTCCTAGAGGATAAAAAAGATCTGAGAACTGATAAAAGAGCTGGGGTCAAAGTCTGAATAAGAAACTACCCTGCTGCAAGGGAAATGAAGTAGAGACCAATAAAGGGGGATTAAGAGCTCTTCAACATCCCGAAGCATGAAAAGGAAAAATACAAAATGTGGGATTGGTATTGGAGCATTGTAGACTTCATGTGAGAGATTTCAGGGGACTAAAGGATGGCATGGCAACGTCACCTAACTAGACATGAAGAAAAACCTAGGGAATTACAGCCCTGATGTCCTGTAAAAACTTACAAGAGCAAGCTCCTGACCAGTTATTCTCTACTCCCCTAGACAGATTCATAATTAAAAAAAAAAAAAAAAAAAAAAAAAAAAAACCCTGGAATGGATTTGTTGATGTTTTGCTGAGGAGAAATTGTATCAAACTAATTTGATTCCATTCTTTGACAGCATAACTGGCCTCATGGCCAGGGGGGTCAGCACTAGATGTGATAAGTCTTGACTTTGGTAAGGCGCTGTCCCAGAAGATGTTCTCGTAAGCGAGTGGAGGAAACGCAAACTATTTAGACTCACAATACAGTGAGTTCAGTGTCAAAGTCAGAGAGCGTTCTGGGGAAGTCTTTCTGGTGGCTGTCCAGGGGCCAGGTCTATTGAGGGTTTTCACCGACAGCTTTAGGAAACTGTTTTACTGTAAGATCTCCTGGTGATATCCAACTGGGAGGGGCTGTGAGTACCTATGGAGGGTAGGACCAGAATGCTTGACAAATTGCAGAAATAGTCCAAGTCAGCGGGATGAGTTTCAGCAGAGAAGCACGTGATGACCTGCTGTGAGGCAGCCAACGTGAATGGGCAAACACGCAGCGAGACCCAGCAGGCAGCCACCCAGCAGAAACAACTGCGCAGCGGCTGGAAGAGGAGGAAGTGGAGAACCTGCAGGGAAATGCTCTTACGACAAGGACAGTAATCAGGTGTTTTCCATGCCTTTGTGAATAAAGCAAGAAGAAAAAGAAAACAGCAGGGCCAGAAAACCCCCACATTTGGCTTTGCTGTTACTGTTCTACCCAAGATGCTACCAAAGAGGAGGAGGCAATCCAATCTCTTTTGATAGCTTTTTTAAGAGCTTATTGGGCAACCATGGTGTTGGTAGAGGCATGGAGGTGCTCAGTGCAGTATGCCTTAGTGCCACGGAGGTGCCCCGGGAACCTTCTGAGAGCACTGTTGAAGCTTTTATGTTGAGATTTTTTTTTTTCCCCCCTTTACATCTTTTCCATGCACCCAAGCTGTAAGCAAATCCTCACAAAATGGGACCAGTGTTTCTGTAATGCAATCTTATTTTCTGAGACAGCAGAGACATCTTCCTGGGACGGTATTTATGACCACACTGTAAATGGGATGGAGGGGGGTGGTGGGGTCCTCCCATACCAGGGACAAGCGGCATACAAACCAGTCCAGCAGCCCCAGCCATGGAATCAGAAGACATGTGCATCACAGACTATTTTTGTGTTTAATTTGTGCTTGTCCAGAAGAGCTTTGATTGCACCAACAACACAGTAATTGCCAAAAAGGTGACAAAGCCCATTCTGACAGTTGCAATTTCTGCCTCCTTGACTGAAAACCTTTGCTCACTGGTTCTAACAAACACTTAATTCTCACTGTACCGTACTGCAGCCGATTCCTGATGCCTGCACACTCCTGTCAATCAACCCAGCTTGCTCTGGGCTGGCACCCTTCAGTGCCAGACCTGAGCCTTAGCGCCTGTGGGTACCGGGATGCTTCTGTGCAGCCGTGGCAGTGAGCCAGCCCCAAAAGATCACATCCCTCCCCACCTCCGCCCCCAAGCTCCCCCAGCCCCTTCATTGAAGTCAAAGGCAATGAGTCCTTTCCCAGAGCCAGAATACGTGCGCTTCTCCCTAAATACAAGTGGAGAAAGGCAGCGAGAAGCAATGCTGGGTGAGGAGGCAGCACAGCATGGGCTGAACCCAGGGCACAATTCCTGGCCAGCTTGAGGGGGACAGGTGAGTGACGCCTCTTTGCAAAACTGATTTTTACCCAAAGGCTAATTTTTTGACTGGCCAAAACCACCTGCAAAATCTCCTCTCCACCAGACAGGGGCAAGCACCGCAAGGTCTTCCCAGCAGTACTGAACTGGAGGGCTGGGGTGGAGAGGGGAGAAAACCAGCCACAGCCAGTGGACCAAGCGCAGGCGCCTGCGCAAAGGAAAACAGGAGCAAGCAGATAGCGAGACCCAAAATAAAACATAAAAGCCTCAGGAAAACAAAAAAATCCCCAAAGGCACAAAACTTGCTTTTTTTTTTTTTAGCTTGCATATTTTTTTAATGAAGTAAAAAATAAAAATAAAAGAAAGAAACACTGCACAGATGTTGGTCTGGCGCAGATCGCCCTCGTGCATGGAAAGCACCGAGGCCCCCATGCCGCTAGCACTCATGGCAGCCAGCTCTGCCCCCGCACCTCTCCCCGAGGTCACTGAAGGAAGCGGATGAAAAGCACATGGTGGGTACAGCACAAGCAACAGAAGAACAGCACGGCAGCTCCCCAGCCGGGCTTTACCCAGGGGTGGGAGAGCTGCATGGGTAAAATAAGAGCTCAACACACTTCGTATGTCCAAAATAGTGATGATACCAATGTCCCCTTGAGAGCTGCACATTAAACCCCCCAGACTGCATTTGTGGGGCTTTTGTACTTTCAGTGCCAGATGTGTGTGCTCTGGGGTCCCTGGCTGGCAGCAGCGGTGGCTGGTGGTGGAGGCAGCTGCTCTCGGTGGCCGTCAGCACAGCCGGAGGCCAGAAGGACCGGCAAGCTCTGCGTGAGCCTGGCCTCGGGGTTTCCTGCCTGTCTTTTTCAGGCCCTTTCCCAAAGGCATGGTGAAGGGAGGGTAAGGAGGCAGGAGGCTGGTTGGCTTCAGTCCCAACTTTGGCTTTCACCCACGGCTCCCACCGGCAAAGCTCCTGCTGCTCCTCCAACAAGGATGCTGCTTCTCTGCCTTATGCGTATACACATTTATATAGAGCTATAGCTATCTGATAAACATTTGGTATGAAAATAAATACTTCATCTGCGCGTTAAGGACCACTGTCACTCTCATCTCTTCACCTGCTATAACGTTACCTCTCTTTTTGTCCATGACAACCTTGTTCCCGTTGCTTTTTTCCTAATCCGTGGGCACCTGCTCCCTGCCTCCTGGGGCTGCAGATAGCAGCACTGCAGCAGGCAGAGATGTACCTTTTGGCAGCCCCTCTCTTACTCGCTGCCTCCCAAGGTTTGACTTATTATAGGGAACTTTATTAAGAAAATGCTTCCCTTTACAGCACCTGTTTCTTGACAGAAGAAACTATCTTCATTTTGAAAACACTTTGCAATGAGTAAGGTCTTAACATCTTCTTCCAGGGCTCTCAATTAAGAAATATGTTTCTACATAGCACTGTTTATATAGATATAGGTATAGTTTTTATTTATTTTTATTACCAACCCAACATTTCAATTTGCAGCTATTGATGTAATTCATGACATACTCTCATGATGTTTTTTTTTTTTTTCCCTTAAAAAGAATGCACATCAAATTAAAAGGATGCCTTTTTGTCTGTCTGATGTTCCTAAAAGGTACTCAAGATGATGACATAGGAGCCCTGATGTGGGTGGCAGTTTTTAAGCCTGTACCTTTCAATGGCCTGAAGACCACCAGTGAGATTCGGGTGCTGTGAAAACCAGGGCAGCAAACGAGAGAAAGGGCAGCCACGCCACAGCTCGGGGTGGGATGGCGCTGGGAACACACAAGCACGCCATCCAGGTTTTCCGGAATTCATTTCCACCTCCGAGCAGGAGGACCACACAGTAAACCCATCACCACCACCCCAAGGAGATGGTACCACTTTCCCTGGCCCCCTCGCTCCCCCTAGGGCAGACTATTCCTGGGTAGTCATTTATTTCTTTATCAGTTGTAAATTAACATAATTTTCTCTCCCTGCAGTACCACAAGCTCAAAGTTAATTATACAAAGAGAAATGCCATAGTCAAAATATACATGATAAGTACTATATTAGAGGGTTGAGGTTTGGGGGTTTTTCCCTCCTTTTTTTCTTAGCCCAGGCAGGTGATTGAGATGCTACATGCTCCAGCCTTTGTCACTCAATGTGTGTGTCTGTGTGTCTGTGTTTGTATTAAAAATATATCAGTCTTGTGATGTTCTTAAAAAAGAAAGACATGGAAGGTGGTGAGGGAGGAAACTGGTAACAGTGAAAAAGTTCTTTGACTGTGTCACAGTCTGTTGTGGCTTCAAAAAATACATGTTCAATTCCAGCACTGACGGCAGCTTGAAGCTTTAGAGTAGATTTTTATCACTTTTCTGTTTTAGTAGTAAAAACGAAAAAAAAAAAACAACCAAGCAGTGTCTCCCCCAACCAAAAAGCAACAAGCAAACAAAAGAAAAAAAAAAAAAAAGAAGAAAAAAAAAATCAAATTGTTGATCAGACTTCTGCAATTCCCAACCAGTAAAAATAAGAAAACATCTCCTTACACTGGAGAGGTGCTCAGGCAGAAAGGAGACAAGCCCCTGTGGGAGAGGTGGCCTTTGGAGATGGCTGAAACTTCTTACTCTCATTGAACGGGGTCAGTGGCTGGGTTTACTGTGTTTTGTTTTATGTCAACACTTGCCATTGCTGCTTTCTTTTCTTTTGTATCATTTTGGGTGGGTTTTGTTTGGTTGGTTTCTTTTCCCATCTGTGATGGTTTTGCCCTTCTTGGCGCCCAGCTGTCCGCCTGTCTGGGCAGCGGCAGCCCCCGACGGACAGCCGCCCCTTGGTGAAACCACGCTTCCAGGACTGGTGTCCGGTGAGGTAACGGAGGAGGGGGTCCCTCCCCCCGGTGGCACCGTCCCTCCACCACCTAAAACCCCTTGATGTAGCAATAGGCCTCCAGGGTGGCGAAGAGGATGTACAGCAGCCAGAGGCTGACGAAGAGCAACGTCGTGGCCAACCAGTTTGCACCCCCGGGGGCCGCCCAGTTCCCCCCCGAGGTGGGGCCGCCGGCGGTAGAGGAGGACGCTGATGCAGATGAAGGCGAAGATGGTGAAGAGGGTGACGGAGAAGGCCAGCGTGCCCGCCGACACCTGGAACTCCTGCCCCTGTGACGCCCAGTAGATGGCCGCCACCGACCACGCCAGCCCGATGCCCAGGAAGACATTGACGGCGTTGCTGCCCGTGACGTTGCTGATGGAGGCGTCGGCGTACACGTCCTGGATGGCTGCAGCTTTGCTGGCGAACGTGTCTGGGGTTGGGGGAGGAGGGAAGGAGAAATCATTGGGGGTCCAACAGGAGAAACGGGCAACCCTGTGTGTCTAGGGGACATGGGAGGCTCAGGTGTGGCAGGGGCCAGGTTGGGACAGGGACCTCTCCTGGTGCACAGCCGCCCCCTCCTGGGTCCAGGGACCCCACGTTCCCACCAAATGGTGTGCAGACCTTGCCTAGGTACAGGGTGCTGTGGAGCCCCTTCCCAGCCTGAACCCCGTCCCCATGATGGAGCTGCTC